CCCCAAAACCCCAAAACCCCAAAACCCCAAGAAGTATTATTTCAATGCAAATTTGTAATGAGACTGCTATTTAAATAAAGTTAAATAAGAAGGATAGAAAATAGCTTTATCAAATAATGACCAAGCCTTCTTTTCCTGAGGGGTGAGCAGCACCTAGACCGCCAATGCCAACATAGGTAGCTACGAGTCTTTTATTGAAAGCATCTGTGAATGGATCATGAACGTCGTAATCGATACCAGTTTGATATTAGAATCTAGCAGGCTGCCAAAATTCTTGATCGAAGTGGTTAGCATGATAAAAGTCAAGCAAGAATTGAGAAAGATAGCAAATTAAGAATAATCTAACCCAGTAAGCTTGAGCACCAGCATAGAATGATCCAAAGTTAGAACTGTATTTGGTGTTGCATTCATATTTGATTATTTTATTGATGCAATCTAACGTACCTTGGTAAGGCATCAAGCCGTTAGGTAGCTTTTTCATTGTGTGAAGTCTAGTTCTGACCATATCTAAAGGAACACTGACAAGAGTTCCCAAAGAAACAGCTACTGCTGTACCCCATAGTCTGTTTATCCAGTGAGGACCAAAGAAGTAGTAGGAGTTTTCTTTGCACCAATCAAAAATACTAGTCATAGATGCGCAAATAGCTCCAAGCTTAAGTCCATTAGCTATAGCTCCTCTAAACAAAGCTTTTTCTTGAGATACATGTTGCAGACCATCTAAGAGATTGGCATAGTTTCTTCTGGCAGCAATTGGATATAGTTCATCAACTTGCATTCTGTTGAAAACAATATCGATTGGGTTGGTAGCAACACCAGCAACAAAGCCTCCAGCAAGTCCTGCAAATACCATATAATCTGGTCTAGCGATTCTTCTTGGGTCTTTATTTAGCTTGTCATAGAAATAAGCGAAGCAGGAAACTCTTGCGGTAGTATATGCTAATGTTCTTACAAAGAAAGCATCAAATGATGAGTAGAACTTTTTAAGTCCTCCACCTGCTTGGTAGATCTCTTCCAAAATTTGGAATGGATACCATCCTCTTTAGTAGCCTATTCCCATAAATGTTTTCCCCTCTTGGAGCATTTGAGACCTAATCCTAACCATGTCAAGTGGTTGAGTAATGGCGTGGGTGATGACAGCAATTGTATTAGCAGCAATAAATCTTTCCCTGTTCATTCTTTAGTACCTGTTTCTCCAGTACTCCACTTCCATTTAAGTAGGCATCTTTTCTTCTTGCTTATTTTAAAATATTATTATTTAATATTTATATTAACAAGTTCATTAATCACTCCTCAATCATTACTTCAAGCGGGGTTTTGGGGTTTTGGGGTTTTGGGG